TTAACTGTAAAGCTCTCTTTACCAATAATCATCATCCTTAATGCTGAACAATCAGCCATACGTAGAAATATACACAACCTTATAAGTAACAAAAATAATCTTCGGGGGAAAAATGCATGTATTGCCTCTATATTATGTACAGATAGAAGAGAAAAAACATTTTTGGACTGAACTGTTCCACAAAGTCAAACAGTCAATCAAGTATACCCTGCTTTTACAACACACACTACTACAAAAATAAATAAATTATTAATTTCAGGAAAGTTGTTTTTGGTAAAACTGAAAATTACATTACTGTTTCAGGGTGAACACATTTTACAATAACACATCTCCTGGTCAGTATCAAAAGTTACATTCTTTAACCTCCAGTACATCATTCTTCACTATAACAGTGAACTCATTAAAGGAAACAGAAAAGCTACATGAAAAAGTAAGAGAAAAGAAAAAATAAAAAGAGAGAGAGAGAATAAAAAAAAGTGACATTTAAAAAGTATGAAAAATAAAGCAACGAAACAAATAAAGCAAAAAATTAAAACAACAGTGCTTGAGACTCTCCACTCAAGCTTCCTCCTAAAAGCACCGTCTTCGCTATAACATACATCACTGTCGCAGCCCTTAGAAAACTGGAATCTTCTCTCGAGGCGTGTGTGCAAGATCATCATCTAAGGTGAGGAGAAGCTGCAATAAGAGAAAACAAAAATACCTTTAATCAACAGCCAAGCTTGTCTACAGATATTTGAAAAATATTCTTTTACCACATTTACATCAAAAGCTACATTATAGGAAAACAGATATGTTTAATGATTACACTTAACCTAATACTGACAGGAAGGCGAGAATACATGCCTTGTCCACTGTGTCTTATTGTTTATTGATTATCTTTACCCACTGATGATTCCTTATATAGTTTCTAAGCTAAATTGTTTTTATACATCTTTTATAAGTGTTTATTATCTTTAAATAAATACCTTTATCATCATTATTTTGCAAACCAAGACACAATGTCAATGTCTATGTCTGTAATAGCTTTCTTGGTGAATAAAACTTTTACAATTATTATTATGATCATTATTATTATAAGTGCTTAATCACCAATTACTAGTCCTTTTTATCTCAACTGTTTACCCTCTCCCTTGATTTTTGGAAAGGATCTTATTTAAATAATTTATTGTTACAAGTATAGTTAATAATATCATCATACTCGCAATACAAACACTAATAATAACCATCTGTATTAATAGCATTAAGGAAAAAAAAAATCTGACTGGTTCCTTGATTAAAACAGTTTGTTAATAGTTAGACAAATATAATTTACAATTTGTTAAATCTCTCGTCACTCTCTCTCTCTCTCTCTCTCTCTCTCTCTCTCTCTCTCTCTCTCTCTCACACACACACACACACACACACACACACACACACACACACACACACACACACACACACACACACACACACACACACACACACACACACACACACACACAGAGGTTCCTCACCATGAAACCAAAGAACATCGCTGCAGCTGAGAAGAAATGCCAAATGTCGTGAGTGTCGTAAAAGTGAAGCAAGACACACTCCTGGTTAAACTGGCGGCTGTGCGCAGGAGTGAGTTCCCAAGTAGTTGTGTGGTGCACGTAGAAGAAGATGGCAGCGCTCCAACCAAACAGGCAAAGCAGCAAGTAAACCAAAGGCTGCAGCTGGAGGCGTTCACGGTGTCTCAGCTGGGAAGGAGCGTGGTTTGTTAACTGATATCAAACAATAGGGCCTTTCTCTTGCTTGTTTAAGTACTTTCAAATAGGAAAGGTTTCCGATCTTGAAAATCTGTTTTTTTCTAGCTTTTTACTATATTTCCCAACTTGAAAAAAATAATGAGTCTTTCCTCAAAATCTTTCCTCAAGTTTGATTATATTTTCAAACTTTAAACTAAAGTCTATAAATCCAAAAAAACAGAAAGCACAAAAGTAAAATTCTTAAATTCTTGCTCATAGTTTTCTAGCAACACAAAAACCATACAGTATCCTACCACAATAGTCTCACTCACCTTCATGATGATGTAAAAGGCAATGTACAAAAGCAAATTCGTCAAGAAAATGATCAAGAGGTATGAAGCAAAGTCCTTCGGTGTAGAGACCATCCCATAAATGGCCAGCCCCCAGTTGGCAGCATTACCCAAGAGCAGGAGAACCATGCGATCACAGTACATTGGCCTGCAGATTCCCCGCCAGTCGCTTAGCTCACTCATGAACCAAGTTTTCATCCGTCCAAATAGACCCAGGTCTAGAACAACAAGAGACGTACTAAAACATCTACCAAATCTTGCTAAGTCATACAACTTATTAAGTTACAGAATGAATATCAATAATATCAAGAATAGTAATATCATTCAATATACTTTTAATAAAAACGACATTTACTGCAACAACGCAAACCAACACAAACTGACAACTTACCGCACTTCCACCTCCCCATGTAGTAAATGTTGCATGACAGGAGGAGGCACGAGATCACGTGGATGAAGCCAAAGATGACCCAGAATAAAGTTGTTCCTGTCAGCACACCAATGACACCCAGGACTACAGCCAATGCTAGAGCAGCAAAGGCAGCACTCGCACTGGCGTTGATGTCTGGGTGCCGCGTCTGGTAGATCTTAAGCATGGACATCACCGAGATCACGTACATGAAGGAGGTGTCTGCATTGAGAGAGAAGGGAGTTTATTCAGACTTTATTAAGGGGGGATTTTATTTTAATTAATAATAATAATAATGATAATAATAATAATAACAACAATAAATTCATCAACACTATCATGGTGAACAATCATTATCATCATCACCATGAATTATCATCATCACCGTGAATCATCATCATCAGTGTGAATCATCATCACCATGAATCATCATCATCATCCAACCAGGATATAGATGAACAATATAATATATCTCACTTAAAACTCATTCATATCAAATGAAACCTGAAGTATCCAACCTTCTTAAAATAAACAGATGAATAAGAAACAAAAAATAGATAACTATAACATAACACAAAATATCTCAATAAATGAACAAACAGTAATCATAAAAACTGATAACAAAACACCTCCGTACTCACCAAATTGGTAATTGGAGTTGTTCGGGCAGATGTGGTAGCAACCGCTAAGCAACCCCTCCATGATTAGCGAACCCCCCATGGCGTAAAATATTCCAAAGTGCTGGGGAATTCCGTAGTACTGCAAAGAGGGAACTACATGATGTCCTGTGTTTATTTTGATGTTTGCATTATAATGAAAAAGGAAAATAGCAAAATTAATTTTTGTTTCTATTCTGATTAGGTGCCGCATGAGGGAAGAGTGGTTTTTACAATAGGTCATTTCAGTATGCTTTTTTCTGAATGTTACTTATTACTAATCCACAAAAGTAACTTCGTTACTTTCCTAAATCAGTTTTCAAAAAGAAATTGAAGCTAACCTTTTCATTGCCACTTTACACACACACACACACACACACACACACACACACACACACACACACACACACACACACACACACACACACACACACACACACACACACACACACACACACACACACACTCCCATAACATACAAACCATGAAACCCCCAACCAAAATCAGTGAAAAACAATACAAATGCATGAAATTTCCATAAACCTGATACCCACCTTATCAATTTTATAGTCCTGCAAAACTGCCTGCTTATGTCGATGGCTTCTCCGTACACAGACACCCATGAACAAAATTCCAAAGAGGATGTAGCTGATATTCGAGAAAACGTGATTGAAGTCGCTCAGTGGTCCAAGGGGATGCGCACACCAGAAGTTGTAATAACACAGGTCTTGGTTTCCTGTTACATCTAGCACCTGTTTGTGTGTGTTTTGTTGTCAGTCTCTTTTTTTTTATCTATAAACATATCTCCTAAGAATTTTCATAATAAATAGTATTAGCATTTCTCACATCTATCATTGCTCTATATCAATAAATTTCTTCAGTCAGTTGGAATAAAAAAAATATACATTTTGATTTGCATCCCTAAACCAAGCCACTTGGGTGAAAAGAAAAAAAAAAAAAAAAAATGCCTTTACAAAACAGATCAAAACATTTTGGTCAACAGTATATATAGTTCATACAAGTACATCTTTATCTATACTTTTCAATCTTTTATCCCTTTCTCAAGGACGAACACAAATGTCCAACACAATAAGACAATAAAATACCTATCATACAACTTTATCAACAAGCAAACTTTCCACAAATGATGGCAACAAAACAAGCAAAGTAAGCATAATATATCATTTCCCATAAGAATGAGAGCACAAAATATAAAATACACCACCTTCTGGTAAGTGATAACGAGCTGAATGACTGGGACGGCATAGAAGACGCCTACAGTAAGCAGGCCCCAGATGTACAATTGTGACTTCTTATTCAACACTCGCATGTCCTTTCTTGCCAGGTCACTCACATATAGGAAGGTTTTTGTTCTGAGGAACAAATTTGCGATGAATTATGAGGATACTTTCATAGATATGAAATATAAAAAATGTATATATGAATGAGAAGGAATAATGTCACAATGCAAGAGATATATTTAGCACAGTTTGATTATATCTTCATCAAAAAAATCAGAATGCATTAAGGATATTCTAATGCTGTGAAATTAATTCATTTTCAATTATGCTACTATCTACATTTTTTACAATGAACTCTGCTCACTGAACATGAAGTTGGTCTTCTACCTATTATCAACTGTAAATTAATCTCAAAACATGTATGACAAAACCAAATCCATTCCTTGAAGCAGACCTGAAAATGTCCTTGTCACTCTCTGCATCTGTCAGCATGTCAATGTCGTCCTCATCTAAAGAAGAGTCTGACACGGTACGTGGCAGGCCGTGATCCTTGGGCTCATTTCCTGGAAACAAATACAACATCACATTATAAGGGATTTGGATAGAATCAAAAGTACAAAACAAAATTCTGATATTTTTATCATCTGGGTGATAAAGAGTTTTAACCTCCAAATACTGGCTGTTGTGCAATCCAGTGGCCAGGGCAAGTTACTCACACACACATACCCACAAACACGCACACATGCGCACATGCACACACACACACACACGCAAACCGTTCACACACGCGCACATGCACACACACTCACTCACTCACTCACACACAAACACAAACACATGCAGGCACACACGTACGCCCAGTAAAAACCATCAAAATATTAACATGAAGATCATTGCTAATTGAACCACATCACCCTAAACTCACTTCCTTGAGAATCTATGGCACCGTACGAAGGTCCTGAGGTGTTGAGGTCCTCCGGCGTGATAATCGAGTCATCAAGAAGGCTACGTTCACGAGGTTGCTTTCTCTTGGCTCTAAAATGATGAAAGGGGACTGGGTTCATAACAGAGGCTCCATCTTAAGGAATATTGTATTCCTGAGTGAAACTAGAAAATTGCATGACATTACAAAATCTACAGACATTTTATCCTTTAAAAGTTACCTGATATATGACACGCATGCCAGAATGACAGTGACAATGTAGAAAAAGGCACAGAAGCCCAGGCCAGCAAAGATAGCAGCCAAGTACTCCAGTTTTGTGATTTTCTCCTCGATGCTGATTGTGACGGTCTTCCTCCTCGTGCGGAAAATGTGCTGGAATGACCCTGAACATGGCTCATCATTGGAGAGCATCACCACGATCACATAGAGGCCCTTGGGGTAATTCTCTTTCTGTGGGAGGGGAAGGGGACCCATCAGGAAATATTACACACATAGCTATGGTTCTTAACATTTCAATTTCATTACTGTATCTTCTCCCTTTTCTTAGTCCTATTCTAATGTATCTTCTCCAAAAAAGGTCAGACTAACAGATTGGAGACTTCAACCTCTGTCTGTCTGTCTGTCTGTCTCTCTCTTACAGCTATGACCAAGAAAAGAGAAAAGATACATTCAAAAAATCAAAATATCAAAAACCACAGGTATGATAAAATACAGAGATTATAATGCAACCACTACACCCATCGCAAGGAAAACTCAGACCATTCAGGTATTCTCCGTACTGCAAGTGCTTACCCGAACTGTGATACCAGCTTGGTATGTCATTGTCTGGTAGAAGTTGCCATACTTAATGTTCTCCTCACTGTCAAATACAGGACACTGTAACAAAAAATGTACAGGTGTCATAATGATTATAACAATCACATCAATACCAATTATAATAACTTTATGGAATATTACTAATATGTAGAGTAATAATAATATGATAATATAAAAGTCAACTACTCTAAATATCTTTTAAAGAAAATATAAAAAAGGCATAAAGAAAACAGAATCATATAAATAATACTAACAATTCCCTTTTAGTTATTATCATAGCAATATTTCAATAGGCTAATATAATCAATAATAGGAATAACCGAATCAACTGACAATATAAGCAATCATAATAAACATACCAATAATAATAGCAATACAAATAATAACACAATAACACACACAAAAAATAATAGTAATAAAATTACATCCATCGCAATAACAGTAATAATAAAGGACCAACACTCAAACTCGCCACATATATACGCAAGAAAAACTAGCATTAGGTCCTCACCGTAATATTCTGAATGGCCACCATCGCGCAGAAATCATCCTCAGCATTGGCCTTTACGAGAATCATGTCCACGTGGTCTGGGAACTGGAACTCATAGAAAACGGGAGTCGAAGGGGTAACCTCAAAGGTCTGCTTCTCATGGAGTCTGGAAGGAGAGTGAGAATTTCAATATTGTAGTTAGAATGCATTTGGAATCCATTTTGGGATAAGAAACCATGATAAGGCTTCAACAGATCTGGAGCCTATTCTATAATGAAATGGTTACATTATATTTGAAGAGTTGATTTTGTAACTTTACAATCCAGGCAGATGGGTGAAAAGAAAATGCAAAATCTAAATATCTGTACATAGCATAAACCTGAATCTATAGTATTTTGTCATTAACACAGCAACACATATTCTCCTAAGGTTTAAATGCCTAACTTTTACTCACGTAACTACATATATTTCTTCAAACCAAAAGTAAAATCAGTGAACTCTAATCCTCCTTTTACCCAAATAGATAAATCATTCCTAATACCTCATCTACGGAAATCGAGCAATGAATAGTAATACAAATAAAGTACTATATGTACAAAGATGAGATGAAACACAGCCACAACAAGAACAGAGTACAAAAACATGTTTCAAGTTACACTAAAATGTCTGCCAGATGATAAACGGTGTTACGGATTGAGGGAATATCCAGACACGGTCAAAACTACACGTTTCTATATCCCTTTCTTAATGTGTGTATTTCACTTCAAATATAACTACTATAATGAAATCATTTTTTGTTACATATTCTACAACATTCAATTCGATTCAAATTCGTAATTCTACTTTAAACCAAACCTTCACACATGTTCTAGCATACTTAAGCAAG